CAGGAGTAGTAGTAGTAGTAGGAGTAGTAGTAGTAGTAGTAGTAGTAGCAGCAGTAGCAGTAGTCGTAGTGGTAATGGTAGTGGTAGTGGTAGTGGTAGTGGTAGTGGTAGTGGTAGTGGTAGTAGTCGTCGTCGTCGTAATAGTAGTGGCAGTAGAAGTAGTCGTCGTCGTCGTCGTAATAGTAGTGGTACGTAGTAGTAGGAGGAGTTGTAGTAGTAGTAGCAGCAGCAGCAGCAATAGTAGTAGTAGTGGTGGTAGTAGTAGTAGTAGTAGTGGTAATACAGCACATTCAGGGCTTATGAAGTTGAAGCTTACCCTGCGCTCGGAATCCAGGCTGGAAAATGGAACCCTTAAGCTGTGTTCTTAAGCAACCTCCACCTGCACCACAAATGACTCAATCACCTCGGCCCCTATTTGCATTTCGCAGCAAAGGCGGTTCAACCGCTACGCTTCATTCGTAGCATGGCCCACACAAGATGAGCTCAAACATGTTTTCATGGATCCATGGCTCGTCAGAATTCCAGACAGCACTGTCATCCACGGTCATGATTATTAGGACTTTATAAAGCCACACACGATATGCATACATGGCTGTTTGGGACTGGCCCAGTGTGTGCACGGAGTTGTTGGACTGCACCAAGGCTCGATGGTCCAGCACAAACTCCATGTCATTCACATTGTCAAAAAAATGTAGCCATGAGATTCTTTCTCAAACTCTTTGAGATCGGGGGCGGGTGCGCCCTGCACTGTCTACCGGATGTAGACATCATGGGTGTTTGTGTTCGGACCACAACGAATCCAGTCACCAGCCTTTGACACACCCCGTTTGGGTTTTACAATGCTAATCAGGGGGAGGGGAGGGCTATTCACTACTCGTTAACAAAACATGACATGTGTCAAAATCTTACAGTCAAAAGTTATCGCATATAAACAAAAACTTCACTACTCGCTAACAGAATATGAAATGTCTCAAAATCTTACAGTCAAATGCTGTCGCATATAAACAAACAAAATTCACCACTCGTTAACAAAATATGAAATGTGTCAAAATCTTACAGCCAAATGCTATCGCATACAAACAAGCCAAGAATTTTCCATTCATATAGTCGAATAATATTTGCTTGTCTGAAAATTTTAACATTCATATCTTATCCCACTCCGGCCCACCCCCGAAACGATTTTTATGGGATGGTGAAACATGGTGACACACAAGTGGGAATGGTAAACTCAAAAACTTGGAAATTGTTTAAGGATGACTACACATGATTAGAGCTAGGATTCCCTTTAATATACCCTTTGAAAAAACTAAGTTACATCAGTTTATCATTCCCACTTGATTCGGTCCCATCGCAGGGTCCGGGATTGTTTTCCCCGAAGGTGTGACGACCGACGTCCCACCGCTCCGGTCTTGACCATGGCAGCCACCTGGGCACAAGGCATTTTTTGTTGTTTTTCTCTGGGGCCCAAACCCGTACCAGGGTCATGCTACACCCCTTCCGGGGCACCAGACACGCTGGTCGTAGACTGAGCCAAAGTGGGTTTAAGGCATACGGTTTAGAGCTTGGCTTAGGGTTTAGGGCTTAGGGTTTAGGGTCTTCAGACTTACGTCGGCTTTAAGGTTTAAGGTTGTTGTTAAGGTTTGGGGTTTAGGGTGTAAGGTTCAGGTTTAAGGTTTAGGGTTTGTTAAGGTTTAGGGTTTAGGGTGTAAGGGTTTGTTAAAGTTTAGGGGTTAGGGTGCTCCGTTTGAGCCTGAACTGCGGCACAAGCGGGTTTAGGGTTTAGGGTTAGGGTGTAAGGTTTTCAGGGTTGGGGCTTTCGGGTTTAGGGTTGTAGGGCTTAGGGTTAAGAGTGGCCAACCCTTACCATGTCTTATAGATTGGGTAAACCACTCTCACACGCACTGATGTATAATACCCGTTCAAGTGGTAGTAGAGGCTATACCATGGTATGCACACGAACCTTTTCTACTAGAGCACTGTGGCAACAGTCAGTCACACAACGGATGAAAGATGACACGTGCATAATCTACACCCCCTCGCCAAGGCATCAGCTGAGGCGGAAACCTGCACAGCGTCATCCTGATGCGCGGCCTGCCATAAAGGCGGCTGGACTGTTGCATGGCTTGAAAGCTTACTGTGACTGCAAAGCAGGTGATGCTGTCACAGACGATTATTTTGTCGCGAAGGTCGAAAGATCGCAGACAAAAGCAAAAGATTATAAAAGTAGCGATCCAGCAAGCCTTTGAGGGATTGTGGCGTGGATACAAGCTACATTAGTGCATGCAGTCGTCGCTTTCTACGGGCCTGCGTGCTGCTAAATGCAATTCCATGAGGCAGCTACCCAACTGAAGTCTGAGGGGAAGACCTCCTTTCGAAATTTGCTTCGTGCAATCCTTCAGCTCCTTCTTTCAGACGGCACGCTGCGCTTTCAGCTGGCCAATCGCACGCAGAGGATCTCCTGCACGCAACTGTGCACAACTCGATTCGCGCATATACGAACTTAGTAAGACCCAAAATGCTGCCGGGGCTTGCACGCCTCAGCCACTGCACCGTCACCCGCACGCTCGGCTTCAACACGTCGGTCGACCGGAGGTGCTGCAGCCATGCTAGAAAGCTAGGAGGACTTCAGACCCCACTTCCGTCTCGGAGCCGCCAAAGCTCGCATGATCATGGCATGATGAGCCACACACATCGATAAGGAAACCTGTCCCCTGCGCAGACTGAAGCGGGGGATAGGCGACAAGAAGGAAGGTGTCGACCGTCTGTCCACACAAAATGCGGTCTAGAACGCAACGCATGCCTTCTTCAAAAAAAGTATCTGCAAGTCGATGCACCCATAGCTCCAGCGGAGTTTAAGATGCAAAGAATGCCTTCGAAAAGCGTATCTGCAACATCGCAGCTTTAGGTTATACCCTTTCCAAGTCCCGAAAACGGGCCCGCTTTTTGGCCAACCATGGGGCTTCAGCATGATGGGCCCCTACAATAGTAGTAGTAGCAGTAGTAGTAGTAGTAGTAGTAGCAGCAGCAGTAGTAGTAGTAGTAGTAGCAGCAGCAGTAGCAGTAGCAGTAGCAGTAGCGGTAGCGGTAGGGATGTAGCGGTAGCGGTAGCAGTAGCAGTAGCAGTAGCAGTAGCAGTAGCAGTAGCAGTAGCAGTAGCAGTAGCAGTAGCAGTAGTCCGTAGTCGTAGTCGTACTCGTAGTAGTAGTCGTAGTAGTAGTAGTAGTAGTAGTAGTAGTAGTAGTAGTAGTAGTAGTAGTAACAGTAGTAGTAGTAGTATTCGTCGTCGTCGTCGTCGTCGTAGTAATAGCCGTTGTCGTTCATAGCCGTCATACTCGTTTTGGTACCAGTACCTGTACCGGCAAAAGGAGGATGAGGGCAGCTGTGCCCCACTTCTAGTCTGACTCTGCCAAGCGCTACCGTTTACTCCAGCTGCCCGGCTGCCCTGCGACACAATCCTCTTTGGGCTCCTAGTCCTACTGCCACGCCTACTCCTGTTTGCTTTTACGATGGTCATACCAATGCAACTGCTGCTCCTCTTCCCATCATTACAATCCACCATGTCTGTTCGTGATTCTGCTCCTGCTGACGGACGCTGTTGCTACCGCACTTTCCACCCGCGCTGCTTCGACGGCAATGACGACGACGACAGCGATGACAGCCACGACGCGCTAGATAAGCTGAAGCCGTGACTGTTTGGCCAAGTGCAGCAGATCATGTCAGACTCATGCTCAAGCCCTCCATAAGACCGCAGAACATGTGGACAGAATGCCCAGTCACGATTAACGTCGGATCGCTCCCTCGTGATGCCTCTGCAAAGGGCTTACCCATGGCCGGTGAAAGCAGAACAGCGGCATTGGATCCAGGGAGCATCCCCAAGACCTTCTGGCAGAGCTCCTGAAATACAGCGCTAAAGAGGGCCCGAGATGCTTCGGCTTTCAAAGCTTTACAAGGGATCCACACGGGCTCTATTGCACTCATAGCACATAGCTACTCCCTCTCCCCCTTACCCCCCTCCGTAAAGGGGTCCCTATGGTAGAGGGTTGAGGGTTGAGGGATGTTAGGGTTGGGGCAGTCTTGGTGGCTTGGGGGTTTGTCTGCAGCTGAGGGGAGCGAAAGCTAGGATTTCGATTCTTAGGGTGTTTAGGGTTTAGGGGTCTTGGGTTTAGGGGTTTTGGGTTTAGGGGTTTCGGGTATCGGGGTTTGGGGGTATAGGGTTTAGGGTTTAGTTAGGATTTTCAAACTCCGCTGCGACAAACTATTACACCCTAAGCCCTGTATCCTGCAAAAAACCAAAACCGCAAACCAAGAATCCGAAATTTCAAACGATCCACGTTCCCAACTGACACCTGCATTCCACAAGCGTGCAATAAAACACAGCAGAATTTGCTTCTGCGGCCTCTCAAAGCATAGCACTTCAGGGCTTTGGGCATTTGGGGCTGAAGACAGGCTTCTGATCGCACGACCACGAAGCAGGGGATGATATTAAAAGCTATTCCGACGTTTCTATTCTCCGATCGAGTTTCTCAACCGAGCTGGAGGCCCTTGGGTAAGATGCCATGGCTTGCGGTTGTGGATCTCGGGCTGAGGTTTAGGGTTCAGGGTCATTTAGGGTTAGGCTTGAGGGCTGCAAAGCGAACCTTTGCACCGATTCTGCTTCCTAGGAAAGTCAGGGAGGATGGTCAAGCCGTGTCTTGCCTGAAGCGAACCCCGCAAAACACTAGCCTTAACTCCTAAACCAGGAAACCCCTCAACAGGCGCGGGCGCCGGTGCCTGCGCCTTCTCTGTGTCCGGCAGCGCTTTCATGGCCACTCTTACCTCTGCCAGCAGCTCCCGCTGCATGCCGCAGGTCCGGTGCTCATACACTTCGCTGGAGAGCAGGCTGGAGACGGACAAAGCCATGGCTTAGGGCTGAGATCGGGGCTTACAGTTCACGCTTCAGGGTTTAGGGCTTTAGGGTTTAGGGGCTAGGGGTCTAGGGTTATAGAGTTTGGTGTTCGAACCTAGGATTTAAGGCTTAAGTTAAGGTTCAGGGTAAGGTGGCTCAGGTCTGCCTTACGAGCCCTAACACCAACTCTGTTGGGAACAAGTAGGGTTTAGGGTTTAGGGTGCAATTGAGGGGTGAAATCGCGATATGCTTGCGGCAGCGGCGGCACGCCGCTGCAGGATATACCTTTGACCCAAGCCAAACTTCGACAGCACAAACTTCGCGAGGGTCAATCCAATCTGCAGTCCTTTGCTTGGCCTAGCTCATACGACCTGCTTGGGGAAATTCAGTTACAGAGCTTAAACCCTAACCTCTAAACCCTAAACCCCTAAACCCTGCACCCTAAGCCTTGACTACCTGAAGCTTTAGTGTTTCAGCGCCTAAGGCTCAAGAGCTTAAAAGGGCTTCGCTCCGGCTTCAGGTTCCTTTAATTCTTTTGGGCTTGGGGCTGAGAGCACCAGAGCCCGATGTCACTCCAAAAAGAGCATTGGAAATCCCACTTCTAGACCCCCCCCAAATAAACCAAATGAGCAGTTACGAAAGCTTCGTAAAAGCCCCTTATGAACCCCACCATACGGTTGATGATATAAATCCTGGGTTAAAGGGTCCCCTTAAGGACCCTAAACTATGGAAATTCTGGTATCTTCCTTATTATGGGTAATGCAGGATTTGTATCATCAACCGTAGAACTCCCCTAAACCATAAACCCTACACCCTAAACCCTAAACCCCAAACCCTCGATGAAGCCCATTAGAATCCCACTGGGGAGCCGGCTCTTTCGCCAGGAAGTGCTTCAGAGCCTTTGCGGTACCTGAGGACAGCTCTTGAGTTTCTAGGCTTATGCTTTGGGGTTTAGGGTTCTAGGGTTTAGAGGTTAGGGTTTAGGGTTTAAGGCTTATGCTTTAGGGTTTAGGGTTCTCGGGTCTATGGTTTAGGGTGTTTTTTTTTAAGGGCCCTTTTCCGTCTGCTCGAAAAGTCTCCAGCTCAGGAATCCTCTGTTGAGGCGAGCAATGATTCGCGCAATAGTTGCACGAACAGCATGAACCCTTAAGCAAAAGTAGGCACACTTCCATCTGTACCACTGACCCTCTGCCAACGGGAACGATTGTAAAGAACCGAACGAGCAAGTTCAGCACAGACAAAGCTTCTCAGCCCCTGCATCACCGCCATAATCAGTACAGCAACTCAGGCAAAGTAGAGGCATAACTGGGAGCAGTCAAGGTGGTAGTAGAGGTCGAAGTCACCAGAACACCCTGAGTATCTTCCAGGTCCAGCACATACTGAGTCTGCATCAAATCCAGCAAGTTACGACCACCTGCAAGGATCACCGCAGCATCATCAATGACCCCAGACTTCCACTTCCCATAGAGCCCTTCATAGTCCGACCAAGCCACATCTGACAAAGTCCCCTCAGCTGCGACACCATCTTCGACCTGCTCATCACACATCTGCGTCTCAGCTGTAGTCGGTAGCGACTCACGGTCAGCAAGGGGCGGCGCCGAACTAATAGGCGGAGGCGACCCAGGAGCCGCGCCATGAGACATGTCCAATGAGGCAGCCTGTCCACCATGGTCTGCAAATCGGGTCGCAGCAGGCAAAACCAGGGTCTCGACATCGTCAGGGCACACCTCCTCTTCAAAGGCCATATCCACCCGCAGCCCAACACCAGCAGCCGGCCTCGGACACGGCAACCTCAAAGTGCGACTCAACCACGGTCCTCCAGAGCTCTGGCTGCCACCCACCGTCACCGTGAGTACCGTTCGCCTCCTTTGCTTGGGAGGCTCCTGCAAGAGGTTGTGCCACTCCCAGTCTTCCCACGCTCGTAGGGCCTGAGCAGAAAGACGTGCGGGAGCTGCCACTGCAGGAACAGGTGGGCCCTCTTCCTCCCCACGTGCATTCCGCTGTCCAGCTGCAAGCAGGTTCGCCTGGGTTCTCAAATACTCCTCCTCCTCCCTATCATGTTCTTCTTCTTGCCGTTGCCGAGCCTCTTGTTCACGAAGTCGCTCCTCTCGGACCTCAGCCTCATCGGCGGCCATAGCCTGGAGGTCCTCAGCCGAAGGAGCATCCAACGAAGAGGACGGTGCACTCGGCGCAGCCTGCTCCTGTGCTTCGAGCCTCAGTGCAGTATAGACACGCCCCCACCATGAAACCTGCCAGCCGACATCACCAACTGCAGCTTCCGTGCAGTCACACTCTTGCATGCCCACCAAAAGGGCCAGTAGAGGTTCACGATGCCCAGCTTGGATGTCCATGGCGCTGCTGAGACGGGCAAGTAGACCAGCAATGTTGGCATTGCGCAGCGGCACCGGCTGAGCACTCAAGTCATTCTGGAGCCCCTGCAACGTTCTTGTCCATCGACTAGCCGAGGTGTCACGAAACTGCCCCGTCAGGGTCCTTTGCATAAGGCTCGTCCCATCACCGCCATGCTGCTCATCCTCCACCACCACGTCCACCAAAATCTCATCTCTTTCACGAGCGACCCCAGCTGTCACTCCTCTCTCGAAGGCCACCATCACCTCCGACATTAGCATGCGAAGAAAGGCAACGAAAGAGGCAGTCATAACCGACCTGTCCGTGAGGTCATAGTTCGCGATCGTCTCCACGATCATCGCCTGGACATACTCTGGCAGCAAAGGTTGCCCCGCAGCAACCACATCGTGGCCCGCCTCGAAGCTCTCAGTATCCAGGCCGAGTAGAAAACGCCAAGCATCGACACCTTGCCGTTCATGCAGCCGAGTACCAGGTGGGGCTCGACCTGCATTTTCACTCGGCGGCCCACTGCCCATCCCTTCTGAGCGGATTGGCCCAGCTGACCCCGAGGCTCGTTCACCTCCTTCTCGGCTTCGCGGACCCGGTGTCGGAAGTAGTCGCCTTGTCTCTCTCGTCACACAGGTAGCCCCACCAGTTCCAGTCCCATCTCCCCGCGCGCGGTCCCGAGGGCTCCTGGTACGGTTGGAGAGCCACCGAGGGTTGACTCGAGAAAGGTCCGTTCTTTGCCTTCTGTCCCTGTCACGCCAACGACCACCTCCACGCTCACTCGACGGCTCCCTTTCCGGCTCCCGAGAGTCAGTCCTACCCCGACCCCTTCCTCTTCCGTTCCCTGCATCCATGAGCACCAAAGTATCGTCTTCCTCCTGCGACCGGAAGTGGGAGCCGTAGAGGGTCAACAGGGAGGCCGGCTCATCGTCAGCATCAGACTCTGCATCTTCCCTACTTCTCCTCGGCGATCTGCTGCGAGTGGGGCTCCGAACTGAAGCCACCATCACCGACCCTGGAGTCGCCCCACCAGTGGAGGCCTCACTCGTAGACCCCAGGCTTCCAAGACCACCCTCAGGCAAAGGCGAGGGACCAGCCAATGTTGCCAGCGGGGTGACTTCGAGGGGATGCTCCCTCATCAGCCTCTGCCACGCCTGCACCGGGGTGGTATCCAAGCAAAGCCTCCCACTCTGAGATCCATTGCACCCTGAGCCTACCGCAGCAGGTAGGGGCGCCGGAGGTCCCTGGAAGGTACATGGCGCCACCATTTCCAAGCTGCTTTCGCCAGCCATCTGCAACCAACCTTGTAGAACAAAGTCCACCCACTCAGTCACCAACATCGTCACAGCTTGGGCCTCAGAAGGGGCCTCTGGCACCGCGTCGCCCTTGTCTAGCAGCATCTCGAGTGTCTTTCTCAGACACCTCCGAACCCCATGTCCACACAGCCGAGAACGATCCCTTAGAAGGTCACGTGCCTCCTTTCCTTGCCCAGCATGCCTTAGGCGAAGGTAGGCCGTCCTGGCCTGATGAGCCCAAACCTGGAATTGGGTGTCTGACATCCCAGTCCTCCAGGCATCTTCAGCCTCACTGTGGGCACCAGCAGTCCTAGCCCGGGTAGAAGACGACGAAGCAGCCTCCATGACACGATCCCCTCTTTCCATGAAACAAGAGGCTTCCGACTCAGGAGACCCGGCGTGGCGGAGCTCCCACTGCTATCACTATCTGCCCCCTCCGCATACTGCCTCCACAGCTGTAGCTCGACCTCCAAACCCCAACTGTGGAAGACTGGAGGCGTCACTTCAGGGCAGGCAAGCCCATCGAAGCCAGGTGCCCATTGCGACAACCACCGCACCGATGTACCTGTCCAGGCCACATAGTCATCCCAACCTCGAGCATGAATGCCAGCCACCAGCATTCCAAGTGCGAGTTGTGTTGCCCTGCCTTCTACGAACCAATCCTCGAGGAGCCTCACACTCTGAACCCATTCATTCACCTCCGTTGCGTTGCCTGCGAACTGCACCCCTGGTTCACCGATGCCTTCTCCCAGCTCCGTCTGCCCCGGGTGAATCGTGTAATCGAAGTGGTCAGGGGCAACGTGCTCGCGGTCAACCGTCTGCACTGGCAGAATCGTGCGATCGACCTGGTTCGGGGCCTGGTGCTCCCGCCGATCAGCACCAAGGTGCACCGAAACGGGTAGTGGGCGGGGAGCATCATCCATCCAGGCACCTGCCGAAGTCAGCAGCGCCATGCTGCAAAGTGGTATGGAAGTAGCCTGTGACGACACACCCATCAGGGGGCCCCACAGGCAGGCTGACAAAGCAGCCACATATGGAAACCAAGTAAAGAACATAGTCACCACACCCATGTTGAGCGGGTTCAAAGGCGAGAGTAGGTCCCTACTGCAATCGCTGTGAATCCGGCCGAGCAAGCAGCAGTCACATACAGCATCACAGCCCTGACCCCTTGCCCCTGTACAAGAACACTTTAAGCGTGCAAACGAAAACGCACATGCAATTCACATGTACTCACATTCACTGGCCCTTAGCCCTCCAAGGAGGTTTGCCGTCCCGATGCCCATGGTAGGTCCTCCTTGGCAACCCATTCATCCTCTTTACCAGCCCAGGCCCTCCTGTCCCTCGCCAGTAATCTCCAAGGCCCTCCCGCCACGAGGTTGAGCTTGCCTTCCATCTGCATAAGTTTGGCAAAATGCCGAACATGTCGAACCCCTTGCCCCGTCGGTTTCAACTTCTCGGTTTCCCACCACTGCTTGTCTCTGAAGGAGTCGATGATGGAGCTAAGCACTGGAAACTCACGGCCCACGAGCCCTATGCCCCGAGTACCGCCAGTACTTCCGCAACCACACCGTAGACCATCGTTCTTGTCCAGCCCTGTGCAAAGCTGCCCTAGCAGCCCTCCAAACTCGAAGTCGGAAAGCCCCCCAATCCTCGGTTGGACCCTTGCAGAGCCTCATCATCCACACGATGAGCTGGATCTGCACGGAGTTCAAGTAACCCAATCCTCCTGGATCCGGTGGTAGAGCACTCAAGCACCATAGTCCTGCCTGTGCAGCCGTACGTTGCATGGTCCTGATTCTCTTGCTCAGCCCTCCCTTGGAGCAGAGGATGTGCCGAATCTCCCAGAAGCGATTTCGTGCCTTAGTCGCGAGGGGTGTAAGCAATTCCATTGTTGTGACCCCGACCTTGAACTGCAGGCCCATCACTTCGAGGTGTGGCGAGGCTTCCAAAACCGCCTCACCCAAGCGAATGAGACGAGCCCCAGAGCAACGAGGTGCACAATACAACTGGCATTTGGCAAGGTTAATGCTGAGCCCGTACTTCTGGAGCTGTTGCGCATACTCCCGAATCTTCGCCTGCATGAGTGCAACCCCCCGACTCCAGAAACAACCATCGTCCATGTATATGCACTCTTCCTCGTCCAATCCCTCCAGGAGCTTGGCATGATCAGCCCACTTGTGTCGAACCCTGGTCTCCTCCAAGGCAGTCTCTGCCAGGAATCCGAACATGGAGGGACTCTCGACCGCGCCTTGTTTGATCCCCGAGGGCATCGACAACAACGACGACCCCCATGGAGTTTGAAGGACCCCAGTAACCTCAGACATGAGAGCTGCCCAACACCCCATCTCTGCACAAGGGCCCATGCGCTCACCTAGCTTGCGAAGGAGCTGTCGTCTGTCCACGCAGTCAAATGCTTTGTTGAGGTCAACCTTAAGCGCACAGAGTGGGGAACCCCACTCTCTGCTGAGCTCAAACACCCTGTGGATACTGAATAGAAAGTCTGCCGTCTGTCTGCCGGGTGCAGCGCACTGAGCAGAGGTACGGGGAGCAAGGTGCCTGGCCGTGCGAGCCAGAAGCATTCTCGCAAACAGCTTCCCCACCGAGCTGCCCATAGCAAGCGGTCTTAACTGTTTGCACCTTGTAGGCCCATCCACCTTGGGGAGCAGAACGAGCAACGGCTCATTCCAAGCCTTTGGCATGAACTGCTGCACCAAGACCCTGTTGAACCATTCAAGCATATGCTCTTCCCCCCTTGCACGGTCATAACCCCAACCAATAGCTCCTGAGAGGTGTAATCAGAGCCCACTGCCTTCTGTGCCTTGAGCTGAGCAAGGGCCTCACGCATCTCCTGCAAGGTGAAAGCACAAACCTCCCCTTCGAACTTAAAGTCATTGACATCGGGAGGAACCCCCTGGTAGACCTCAGCAAGATGGCGATGCACAGCTTCATGGGGATCACCCTGCTGAGCGGCAGCAAAGGTAACATCCCAGCCAGCATTCTTCTTGGGTCGGCACGATCGAAGCGAACCCCAATCTCCCCTGCTCGCTTTCTCAAGCCTCATCGCCTCCCAAGCCTTCCGAGCTTTCTTACGCATGGAGAGGGCATTCTTCCAAGCAGTACCCGTTTTCAGGAGCTTGGCCTGCCGAAAGGCCCGCTTGACCTCCTCTGGGTCTTTGTAGGCATTCGTTCTCCTGGGTCGGGTGCATTATTTGGCAAGCTGCTCGATCCGAGGCTGATCCATATGTGTGATAACCCCGCTGAACCCCATCCATTCCCTGGGCCCTGTGGTGCACCTCGGAATCACCCTCGGGGTTCTCAAGATGAACTCCGCGCTGACACATTCATGATCGGACCCAATGCACTTGAAGGAGTCCTCGTGGATCAGACAGGAACCCCTGCGAATCCCGAAAGCAAGCATGTAGTCGATCTGAGTCCCGACTCTGTCTCTCTGTCGAGGTCTGCTCGTTGGAGTCGTCCACTGAGCCTCCTCAAAAGGGATGAAATCTAGCCCCGACTCAGCCGCATATCTCGAGAGGATATCCGCCTTTCCATCCCTTCCCGATGCTTCAACTCGCTCTCGCTCCTGCCACCACCTGAAGGAGCAATTGAGATCCCCTTGGAACACGACAGCCCGACACTGCCCGGGTCTAGCACGAAAATGACTCTCCACCTCAGCTTCATAGCACTCCTGTGTAACCCCCGGACTGAAATGCGCAGTGGAAAACCACACCTCTTCTCCACTTTCAAGATGGCGAAGATGCACCCACACCCCTCGCAAGGTGCTCTTCTTGCTGACGGCATTCCAAACCGAGGCATTAAAGGCAACCTCGGTGCCTCGCCACATGCTCTCGTTCCGAAAGGTGATCACCTTCAAGCCACCAAGCTGCTGTGTAGACCACCCCGCTTTAGCCCTCGGAAACTCTTGAACCAGCAGAACATCCCTTTTGCGAAGGCTCGTTCCAGTCCCAAGCTGAATCGCCTTTGGCAAATCAGCAGCATCAGCCCCACCAAGATTCCAGCCGAAAGCCCTGAAACTCGTGTCAGGCACATCCACCCGGAGGCGCGGCGCAGCCGAAGGAGCGGGTCAGGCGATCTCGATCTCCTCGAAGGCTTTCCGCAAGACGGCCTCATCGATCCTAAGGTCACGGGCAGCCTGCGGAACATTGATCCAAGGTTTGTTGTCAGCCCCCTCTCTCACCACAAGATCTGCTGGAGCAACCCCTGGCGGCGGCGGCACCGCCGAACTTGCGATCAAGTTCTGAATCGTCCAAACACTGCCCTGATTCCACTCGACATCCAGCTCAAGGAGCTTGACCCTATCTGTGTCCCCAATGACTCGCTTCACAAGTGCAGCATGAGAGCTGTGAGCACGTTCTTGCTTGCTTTTGCTCCAGTTGCACCACAGCTTTTTGCCCTGCTTACCGGTTACTTCGGAGTCATAGAAGGCGCGAATCACCTGCTGCATTCTCCCCCGTACATCCGAAAGGCTTTCTCCAGGTCGCTCTCGAAAAGACGAGAGAGCTATACTACGCCGTACCCCAGTGGTGAAGGGAGGGTCATCAAGGAGCTTCTCGACCCTCAAGCTCGACAATGCCTTCTGAAGCTCACCCAAGATGTCAGCTCGCCGAGTATCCCGAGCCCACCCACCGTAGACCAAGGTCCGTTGTCGCCTAGAGACATCATCGCCTTCTACTCGATCAGGCAGTTTCCCGGCCCCGGACTCCAAAGCACGCGTCAGCTTGAGCTCGAGGCTCTGAAGCCTCTCTTCCACCGCTGTCACTCTAGTTTCAGCTGCCCCAACTCTCTCTTGAACGACCCCTTCGAACTTTGCAACCGCTCGGGCCACCGCCGCTTCCTGTGTCTGAACAAGCTGAGCCGTTTGCTGCGCAAGCATCGCCTGGAGGTCTGCAGCAGAAACTCCCAAGGAGCCTCCAGGGGCACCTTCAGCTACCTTGGCCGCCTTAGTCGGGCTCAGCTCGGACTCATCCTCTTGTTCGGGGATCTTCGTCTGCTTTGCTAAGTCAATCTGCCTCTTAGACCCCGCCATGAAGACCCGGCTAATCGTGTAAAGGAGGAGCACCGGCGCCCTGAACTCCCGCACACCGCCGCGTCAAAGCACAGGCCCGCACCGCGCCAGACGACGAAGACACAGCAGCCCCCCGCAACAACCCTGAAGGGCACAACCCCGCCTTGAGCCCGCGAAGCCTTGAGCCATGGTTTAGGGTTTAGAGTTTAGGGGTTAGGGTTCAAGGTTTAGGGTTTAGAGGTTAGGGTTTAGAGTTTAGAGGTTAGGGTTTAGAGTTTAGGGTTTAGGGTTTAGGGCTTAGGGCTTAGGGTTTAGGGCTCACGACTCAGAGTTTCTATGTGTTTGTGCTTTGCTGCTTTAAACTTCCGGCTCCAGATTCGGGTTTTGAGGGTTTTAAGGTTTAGGGTTTAGGGTTGAGGGTTTAGGGTTTAGGGTTTACGGTTTAGGGTTGAGGGTTTAGGGTTTAGGGTTGAGGGTTTAGGGCTGAGGGTTTTAAGCTCTGGCCCCCTAAACCCGGCCTACATCCAAACCTCAAGTTTCAAACCTGCAGTTGCAGTCTGTAGTTTTTAACTCCATAAGTACGGCTTAGGCTTTGGGGCTTGGGGATAAGATCCTACCTAAACCTTATGGCCCTACCTTTCGCCGCGCCCCCAAACATCTGAGGTGCTTCTGGCTGGGAAGCGCCGTGTAAGCCGACGCCCAGAATCAGTGGTGATGGTTACCTCCAGGTCGCCATCCATGGCTTGGCTATCTTGGGCAAGAGCCAACGATTGCTAAGCCCTAACCCCTAAACCCTAAACTCTACACCCTGAACCCTACAACCTAACCTCAAACCCTCTGAACCCTGAAACCTGACCATTAAACCCTGAACCCTAAATCCTAACCTTAAACCCTGAACCCTAAAAACCCTAAACCCAGAAACCGAAACCGCAAACCCGAAATCCCTAGAACGCACCAGTGAAGAACTCTGCTGGTTTTGAAGCCTGAGAGTTCGCTCTGTGAAATTTGGAGTTTGGGGCGGCCGAGTTCCTGTAAACTCTAAACCCTAAACCCTAAACTCTAAACCATAAACCCGAAACCCTCAAGCCTGAACCCCCTTATACCTGAACCCCCAGACCTTAGATCCTAAATGCACAATCCTTTGGGCCTCACTTGTTTCTGCGAGCCACAATCTGAAAATAGCCCGAGATCCTGAAACCCAAGCCACTAAGGTTTAGGGTTTATGCGGGTTGACGACTGGTCTGAAACATCCAAACCCTAACCTCTTAGCCTACAATACAAAAAGAATGTCAGTTTCAGAGGAGCACCAAGAAAGCCCCACGACCTCGATGCTGTGGGGTTCAGTGTCTAGCATTTAGGCTTCTTGGCGGTATTTGGTGTTTAGAAGTGGGTGCGGGGGGGTTCTCGGTTTAGGGTTTAGGGTTTAGGGTGTGTTCTGGGATTTCTGCTGCCTCTGAGGCCTACCGGGGGTAGGGTACACAGGGAAGGTCAGGGGCGCAGTGGATGGGATGTTGGGTCCGATACAAGGGGATACCCCCGATATCCTTGTTCCATCATATACCCCTGAAACCCTTAAACCCTAAACCCTAAACCCTAAACCCTGAGTCTTAAGCCGTAAACCCTAAACCCAATGTGTCCCTCAAAGGCACCCGCAAAGGACTAAATCTGCTGGGCTTCAAGGCTTAGTTACGTTCGCGAAGCCAAAACCCTTGGTACGCCGGTGTAGGGATATTGGGGTAACCCCTAAACCCTGAACCCTAAAATCCTAACCCCTAAACCCATGACCCTAAAGCCAAAACCCTAAAGCCCTAAAGCCCCAAAAGCCCTAAAACCCTAAAACCCTAAACCCCTTAACCCATGAGCCTTTTAAACCTTGAAGCCCCAAAAGCCCCAAACCCTAAACCTGAAACGCACTTGGGGAGAAGCTGGCGTCAGATCCCCGGTCTCCGAAACGACGGCTCTGAATCTTGGTACCAAACCCTTACCCCACCCCAAATCCTGAACAAACAAACCCACATGGGGGTTTCCGAAAATAGGGGACCCTAATATAGTACCCTAAATAGTGGGATCCTTATTATAAGGACCCCAAAATAAGGTACCCCTTAGTTTCGGAAACTCCCACATGTCAAAGCTGAAGCACCCTACACCCGAAATTCTTCACCCCGAACCAACCCGACCGCGATCTTCCACAAAGTGCCTGCAACTTGTGCACTCTCGTTCCTTGCTGCGCCAACTTTCCGCTTGGCGGGTACAACTGACGCCGGATTTACCGACGCCTTCTCGATTGCGAGGTGTTGTTAAGGCCTTTCCGGATGGGGCAGGACTCCTATTCCTGATGGACAAAGTCGTGTGTTGCCTTAAACAGCATGATGTTGGAATTGTGGAATCTTCGCATTATGACTAACCCTAGTCCCCTACCTCTGAACACTAAAACCCTAGCCCTAAAGCAGTGCCCAAACCCTAAATCCTTAGCAACAGTCGGGCTATCAGAGACTTGACACTTTAGTCGTTGAGCAAGGCGTCTCGAGTTCGCGGCTTCGGAGTGGTCGGTGCCAGCAACTGTTTCACAGTGGCTTCGTGCATCTCGATGTCCCCAAGGAGCCCTGCTTACAAATCACTCGGAGCCAAAACCTGAAAACCTAAATCCTATAAACCTTGAAACTCAAGCCCTGAGCCCACCATCTTCAATCAGCCCGAATGTCTTGTACACCATGGTCTTTAGCCCAACACCCCCATAGCATGAGTTCTGCAGAGACTCAGCGAAACGCAAAACCCGAAACTGAAACTTAATAAAGCCCTAAACCCTAAACCCTAAACCCGAAGCCCCTAAACCCTGACCTTTAAATCAAACCCTAAACCCTAAAGCCCTAAACCCTAAACCCGAAGCCCCTAAACCCTAACCTTGGAATCAAACCTCTCTCAGCCAAGACTTGGCTTGGCTAAGGGGGCTCCCGGGAACTACTGTTGATAATCGAAATCCTGCATTACCTTAAGGACCCTAAACTATGGGAAGTATGGTATATTCCTTATTATGGGTAATGCAGGATTTATATCATCAACCGTATGGCGAGTCCGCAACGCCGCCCTCAAACCATGGAGGGTTCTAAAGTTCTAAAGTCCTAAAATAGGGGGGTTGAGGGTTGAGGAGTTTAGGAGTTTAGGGTTTAGAGTTTAGGGTTTAGGGGTTTAGGGGTTAGGGGGTTTAGGGGTTTACGGAATAAGGGGGTATGCAAGAGGTCCGCGGACCATCCAAGTGAGAAGCGCGCCAGGGGTTTAGAGGTTTAGGGTCTTCTAACATTCAGAGTCCTAAGTAGCCCAACTAGAGGCCGAGTTGCGAGTTCAGACGAGGTTTCTTATGATAAGATTATGAGCTCTACCTGGGCTCTATGTATTTGTTCAGCACCGCTGCCCAAAGAGTCAGGCTGGGGTTAACGGTGTTGTAACTCTGCTTTCGTTGCACACTCGAATCCTTCGAATCTTCGTTTCAACGCGTGTAGTATGCGTGCATACAGTGAGAACCTGGGCT